GCTAAACCTTAAAATAGTTTCGTGGATTGGTGTGATATCTAATAGTATATAGTGAAGTTCCACGAAACCTCAAAGGATTCGTGTGACACCATTTTTTTTTTCAGTGTAGTTGTTTCATCTAACTTAAGATCAGAATTTTCGTAGCTATGATATTTCATGCAGAACATCGGGTTATCTAAAGATGTTGTTGAGTCGCACTGGAGTGAAATATATTTAATAGTAAATAGTTGATAGCCCTATAACGTCCTATTATTCCTTTTCCATTTTGAAGCGATTGCTGCTCTTAATTATGGTTACAAATAATTGATAATGAACTCGAAATAGTTATTCAAATACTCTCTATATCCTGATCCAAAAAGTGAGTTTCTTGCATGTTCAATAAAGTTGGTAGGCTTCGCCAACGAAAATCATAATGTATCGATGTATCGAGTTCTTTCTGAATGACTCCATTTTGTCATGCATCGTTTTTGGTCACTACAAGATTATTTTGTCGAATCCAATTTTATCATTCTCTCCGAAAATATCTTCGAATAATTAAAAAAGCTTCCTAGCGCAGCCCCTTCGAGACTGAAATGTGGAACGCACATATATCCCCTAGGTTTACTAAAATAATTTAAAAGAGCTCATGCTTGTAATGGAGTATTTTAATTGTTAGCTGGCATCTTTAGTAATGACAGATACTAGTTGCTATGGTCTGCAATGAGCAAACATGAATTTTTCGTGTAGCCTGTAATCGAATGAAGAAGAAATAGCACCCTAATTAGTCAAGTTCCTAATTAGCACAGTTTTAAACTCATTAATGCCTGTAATGAGGAGGGGGAGCCGCAAAAATCTCGGTGTTAAACTGACACTGACCATTTCCTTCGAAAATATATGTGAGTTCCACAAAAAAGAAAGCATAAATCATATTTTTCTTTTACTAGGTTTAAGCAGTTTTTTGAACCCGATTAATGGTTCCACTTCAAGACCCACTGTTTATTTCGAGTTCTTCCCATTTAGTACACGTGTAATTTATTTATCATTTTCTAAATCCGATTTTTGGTTAATTGGATTACGATTACTATTTAATGAGCAGCAGGTAGGACTCTGTGATTGACTTATTCTGCAAAAGTGATAATTTGCCTTTATTTAGTTATTCAAAGAATCATGTAGTTCATTGTTTATTGAAAGAGAAGGATGTAATTACATGCTGTATAACGGAGTTCGTGCAATGGTACTTTATATTTTTCAGGTAAAAAATTGTCCGAAACTCTAGAACGAACAGATAAATACTTCTAAGGCAAAACCCAGAAATACTCATAAATATAAAAAAAATAAAACAACCAAGGATCATAGAGAGTTCTTCTAATCTATATTCTGCGTCGTTTATTCAAGGAGGTCTTTTAAATTGTCGACAATTTTAATTATTTCTTACTTGTTTTACGAGAATTCGTATTAAAATAATACATAAAAACTGTTCGAAATTGTGTGCTACAGTATTTATTTAATTCATCACGTATATATTGTCTAGCTTAAAGCATTTCATATGAATGCAGTAATTGACGTGCAGAAAATTTTGCTTTTATTTTCTAAAACCAACTTTGCCAATGAGTAGTTTTATATTTTTGAACAGAAAATAATTTATTACTTGTTCATCCTATTTTAATTGTGTTTCTCCACTCAAACCATTTGAATTAGTACTTATACTACTTCACACACCTTCTTATTCGTCCAAAAAAAACGATTTTTTTATGCATAAGAAGGTGATACCATGAAATTCACTCTATCACATGATTTCTTCTCTTATATTTTAATTCTTCCGGTCCGTTTATTATTGAAATCAACAAGATCGCATTTTTGACTTGTGATGCAATACTTAGCAACTATCCTGCAATTGTATTGTCTGCTTGTTCTCTCGCTGTTATATATCATTATTAATCTAGATATGATAGCCTTTCTATAAAACGTGACAATATAGCCTTTTTCGCGAAACTTGTGTTATCAATTGAATGCACGATAGAGTCAGTTTTCTATCTAGTAAACATAGTTTGAGGAGGTAACAACAGTTGAAGTAAGAGAAAAACTTATGCGTGTTGCATGTTTTACTAATGATTATCCTATCAATAAATACAGCCCGTCAATTTCTATATCTATCATTGATAGTTAAAATTCTCTCTTGAATTTAAAATAATTATATCAATATCAACCGTATACGTCTCTTTTTTATATAATAAAGCTTTTCGTTGTTGACTTCATTTTCTGTAATAATTATTATAGTTTTAACATGCCAATATCATAAAATTGGCAGATACATTGTATTTTACACTGTTATAAATAATATGACGAAGAATGGTCAAGATCAAATACAAAAATGGTTCATAATTATAGAGTAATCGATGATTATGTTCTCATGCTTATTTACATAGTTTCTCTCTGTCTTTGATCATGAACTATTGAAATAAAAGACAGATGATGATCATTGATTGAACTCGAACCATATAATATGTTAGTAATCCTTCTTACGACAGGCACATTAAATAATCGATAGAAAACAAAAAATTACCTATGCCATCGCCATTGAATCCTAAGTATACAGCCTTTTACAACTTCTGATTTTTATAAGTATATAATATTTTTTTTCACACAAGTTAAATTGATTTCATTTAATCTGAAATTGAATGATTTTGAAAACACTTGCATTTAGATTTGATTGTTTTAAACTAATTTTACTAAATACACCAATTTGTATCGTAAAATACAATTTCAATCAATGACTTTTTTTTTGTTCGAATGAAATTTTATGACATAAACTATAGAAGATAGATAATTTCATCCCGCGGTTCAACAAACTACTTCTGATGATGCTTGTAAAATTCAAATTCAATGTATTTACACTGTTCTATATTCTTCGTCAGTTGACTTAGCGCAATCAATACTATGAACGAACGTCATCAATATCCTATTTGTGTAGATATTCAAATTAACTATGTAATCCTTGTATAATTCTAAATAATAAATCAATCTTAATGAAATTAAAAAAAAACACCAATAATACGAGAAAAAGGAAATCAATTAACATCTATATGAATAAATTAATTGCTATTGAAGTAGTAATAGCAAGATAAAAATACAATTAAGAACAGAATGTTATCTCGTGTATAGATGTATTTTGTTTAGTGGAGAACGCATAGTGAGCCGACCGAATATATTCAAAGAAAAGTGATTAAAGTCTTGAAAATGATCCCATTTGTATCGTATCGTATTTATGTAAATTTGAGTTGCCAAACTATTTATTCGATAAATAATATCTTATCGATTTGAAGATTAAATTTGAGAATATGATCTCATCGTATCATTTTGAAAAGGTCAATTAATGTCTCTAACATCAGAAGAATCATCGAATAAATCTGCTGCTTCGATTCGTCTAGATCGATGTTTAAGTTCGTATTCTCCCGCTTCAAAGTCAATTTCAGTTCGATCGACTTCGATCGATGATTTTTTATCCTTATCTAATTTTGAACTTATTTCTTTAGAGAGTTGTTTCGCAGCTGTCACACGTTTCTGGTCATCCATATGTTTCGATCGAAGTATTATATATAAAATGATGGACCATAAACCTTCTAGTCCATTGAAAATAATAAAAAACCATCCTAAAATATTGCCAGCTTCAGGACTTATAAACGTCAGAAATGGACCAAACAGCCAGCCAATGCCTTGTGTTGCAGATGACGAAAGTAGAATGAGTACACATCGTTTCATTCGCTCATACGATTGATGAGGTGATGTTGCATGCCGAGCATGATTTATTATACGAAGAGCGACAAGAATAAATACGATGGTGTTGATTAAAAGAAATGCACCAACAGGTATGGTAAGAAAGTAATAAATAACATCACGAGTAAACCAACAAAGTTTATACGGATACAATTGAGTAATGTTATATGATGAACTGGAATTAAATCCAATTGCAAAAGCAACACATGTAATTGAAATAAAAAACGATAATATTAGCAAAGTCAATAGTTTTCGAATAGATGGCTGTGGAAATAAACATATAAAACGAAGATAATTAAAGTATCCAACACTAGTCTTCGTGCAAAACATAAAAATTAAAAAGAAATAAACGAAAAACATCAATACACTTGAACTTAGAAAGCATTGGCTTTCATTTGTAGACGATGTTCTTGTGTAAACCGTCATTCCCAGAGCTATGTAAAAGATAAAAAGAATTGTTGTACTTGCACAAGATAGCAATGGAAGTAATTCATAGGACTTAAAACTCATAACTGGATCTAGAATTCGTAGAGCTATTGCATGAATAATTATGGCTAAAAAGCAAACTATTGAAATAGATAGACAAACAAGTGATGCAATATCAGAAGCATTTAGATAAGTTGTCAGTTGTCCTTGTGGTAACCAAAGAAGAGCAAACGAAGTTAGATGATCACAACTACATTCATATCGATTAAACACTGTGTTGAACGTAGGTGTAGAACAACCAGATTCATTCCATCTCAAATTATATGTATCGTAAAAGGAACAAAAGTAGTTGGCACTAACATTTGGTTGAAATTCATTTAAAATTTGAAAGAAAAGGGAAATATTGATTGGATTTGATACAGTACTATTTCTTTGAATGTTAACAAGAACAACAGATGATGCAAGAGTTTTATTCGTTGAATTATCTATGTTTTGGAATGCAGTAGGACTATTAATGATCATCATATTCAGAGACTTAACGTTACTTAAAGATTGATAATTAAGAATAGCTGCTGTAGATACATTTGAATTAATAACATTGCCTTCATTTAATGTACTAACAATTTGACCACCAGTACCCCTTACAAATGACGCACCTAACACGATGCTGTTGTCTGGTTGATTTGGTGCGCTTGCCATAAGAAATGAGTCATTGGTATTTATTGTTAAATTAGAGCTGTTTATGCTACCGAGATAATTATCAATTGCGCTCACCGTTAACGTATAATTTGAGTTCGATGACACATTTGAATTCGTAATTGAACTTATGTACAATGAAAGAGCTTGAGCAATTACAGTCGAATTCGTTGTGTTACCACGCAATATGTTAACTGTAATGATCTGAAAATCAAGTCATACACAAAATTAAAATAAAGATTCGATTTCTTTAAAACACACCTGCCCATTATTTTTCAACACACAAGTATTATTAGGCAACTGAATTTGCGTAGAAATATTACAGCTAGGAGCCACTGTGGTAGTGATAGTTGTTATTTGATATACAGTTGTAATGCTAGCAGTATTCGTTGATCCAGTAGTCGGCGTCGAAGAAACTATGAGTGTAGAACTAACTTCTAATGTTGAAGCATTCGTCCCATTGGTATTAGCTTGTATTGTTGTGAAACTACTCGAGAGTGTGGAGCTGGGGGCTTGTGTAGAAGTAATCATTGCTGTTGGAACTTCTGTGATTCTAGAGGTAGCAGTTGTTATCAAAGGCATTATTGTTGACGCACTCTCAGTTGTCATAGATTCGTTAGTTACCATGAGAGTAGAACTAGGAACATTGCTGGTAATCATGGTAGAAACTATAGGAATACTAGTACTGGCTACTGAAGTAGTAGTCGTCATCAACGACAACGAAGTAGTTGTTATATTATTTTCTGTTGTGAGAAAATTCGTTATCACAAAAGTAGAATTTGTCGTATAAGAAGTCATTGTTTCAACAGCAGACGTTAATAAAGAAGTCATGATCGTGGAAGTATTTCCTACTGTTGATAGATTCATTGTTGTAGTGGTGGCTTCTGTTGTTATTGATGAAGCTGCAACTGTAGTAGTTTCATTTACTGTTGAACTGCTAGTTCTTGCTAAAGTCGAGCTTACCGTAGAGCTCGTCATAGTTATCGAAACGATGGTGGGCGTAGAAGTATATGTTGTCGGCGGAACAGAAATTGTTGTAGTAGCTTCTGTTGTTACTGAAGTACTCGTTATCATAGAAGTTAAAACTGAAGTTGGCGCTTCCGTTGTTATAGAAGGAGTTACGACTGTAGTAGTTTCTGTTATTGTGGAACTATTTGCTATAATGAACGTTGACGTTACTGTAGAAGTAGCCGCTGTAGTGGTAATGCTAGTCAGTGTAGAAGTTTCTGTTGTTGTAGAAACAGTTATCGTTGTGACCATTTGTGTTGCTGGTGTAGATGTTGCCGTTGTAGTAACTTCAGTTGTAATTGAAGTATTGTTTATTATAAAAGTTGAAACTAACGTCGAAGTTTCCGTTGCGATCGATGAAGTTACGATTGTAGCAGTTTCTATTGCAGTGAAACTACTAGTTGTTATGAAAGTTGACGCTACTGTAGAAGTACCTACTGCTGTCGTAATACCAATGAGTGTAGAAGCTTCTGTTGTTATAGGGCTTGCAGTTGTTATTGATGAAGTTACGACTGTAGTAGCTTCTGTTGGTGTGAAACTATTCGTTATTATGAAAGTTGGCACTATTGTGGTGGTAAATATTGTTGTCAAAACACTTGTTAGTGTAGAATTATATGTTGGTACAACCGTTGTCATTGTAGATACTTCAGTTGCAAGCGAAGCATTGTTTATTATAAAAGTTGAAGCTGAAGTCGAAGTTTCTGTTGGGATTGATGAATTTACGACTGTAGTAGCTCCTGTTGTTATGGAGGTGTCTATTAGTATGAAAGTTGGTGCTGCTGTGGTGGCAACCGTTGTTATCAAAATACTCGTTGGTATTGAAGTAACTGTTGTTGTAGACGTTACTATTGTAGTAACTTCAGTTGTAATGAATGTTGAGGCTGTAGAAGCCGTAGTCATGGCCGTGGAATGATTTGCAATTGTACTAATTGCAGCCATTGAAGGAGTTATCATTGTGGTAGCAGTTTCTAATGATGAAAGGCTATTAGTTATTATGAAAGTAGAAGTAGAAGTATCTGTTGTTATCAATGGAGTTAGTGTTGTAGCAGTATCGGTCGTTGTAGGGATCCCTGCTATTATAAAAGCGGTTATTGTGCTTACGTTAGCAGTCGAGTTTTGATTAACTGTAAAATCTCAATGGATAATTAATGTTTCGATAGGTTTGTATAAAAGCAATCATTAGACTAAACTCATGCATAGCTAGCGTTCGTTGGAGTGAAAACGAACCACAACATATTTTGGAATGAGCGTAAAAGCGCCTCTTCATTTGGTTGAGAAAGTATGGATTGCATCAGAAATGTTCACTGTCACTAATCTGGTTTACATTCGAAATTGAAATAGAAAATATGTGCATGTTTTACGATGAAGATCAGACAAAATTATGTACATGACACTTATGCTTATTAAATCATGAGTGAAACTTAGTTTTCAGTTGATTCTGATGGATCAAGTTACCGATCCTATCGATTCTCATGTAAGCACTTCTACAAAAATATCTAACATATGTTATTTGCTCGAGTGACAACGTATTCTTACTGGATTGGAAGTAATTGCTTCGTTGTTATTAACACTATCTTACTCGAAAAGGAAAACGACGGAATCCAGTAAACATTTAGTACAAAGAAACGAGACTTCAAGGATAACATTTCTAGCTTGTAGTCATATGAAACATTTATTGTATTTGAGCAAATATAATACGCTTCAAAAATCAAGGGAAAATAATGTATGTTTACGATTGTTCGCAGCTCTTTTGTAGTAAAAGGTAACGTTGAATGTGAATTTAGCTCTAGCACATAATAGACATATAAACTATAAGTAGAAAAATCAGAATAAATTTGTACTATTCACACTAAATCAAATAAATCTTAATGATTCACTAGTTTATTTGTCTCTTGATTACCGCTGACAGATTAATCCTAAACTATATATTACTACAAAGTATTTCATTGAAGGAAATGCAATAGGCACAAGTATATCTTCCTAAAACCTACGTATGTGCCATATTTATAGATCAAAATTTATCATACCGGAAGTTGAAGCAGTTATTTCACTTGTCAATGAAATTGTAGTTGAATATGTTGATGATTCAACTAGAAAAAGAAATTTAGAAAAAAATAACAACGATTGAATACTTCTTAGATGCTCACGTGTTGTAGTGCCCGATGCATCATAAATGGCTCTCGGGAGATTTCCATTGACTTCTCTTCGTCCTCTGTTACTAATACTTTCAATTAACTTTTCATGCATGACTTCGTTCATGTCATCATCATTATTTAAAAATTTAAAGTAATCATCTGAATTTATGTTGGCTGTGTAAATAGTAAAAATGAATATATGAATTAACATTTTCAGAATATTCGTCATTTTTCAACTAATAATTGTATTATGACTTGCACTTCCAAATATTATGCCATAAGAATAATCGACGAGAGAAAAAGCACATGAATTGAAACATACATTTATATTGTAGGAAAAAAATTAATTTTACATGATTTTCTGTTAGCATGCCTTACCTACGCATATTTGTGAGCATGAATAATGATTGTAAAACATCACACTACTATCAGAGTAAGCAAACAATTTTATTGCATTAATATTTTGTTGACGAATGGATACGACATGATATTAGAAGAGTCGAAGAACAAGAAAGTAAGCGGCATATATTTGTTTTTCTTTCAGCAGTAAACTAACCAGCTTTGGAATTGAAAGAAAAAAGAACAGATTTGATTTTGATTTTGATTTCTATTTAACTTGTTCTTTTCTATTATTATTTCAGAGGTAATCGAAAGAAAAAACTTGAAGGATCCATGTTTCAAAAAAGGATATACATTACAATCAAGCCAATAATCAAGTAAACTTCTGTTACATTTTATTCTCTCTTTCTTTCTTTTCATCGCATACTTACTAGGAATTATATATGTCTGATCGATTCGTTCCTTTTTCTTTTTTCGTCTTAAATAAGCAATCCGTGAGTAATCATAGTAAAAAAAAGTATAATTATAAGTACTGACAATATACTAGGGTCGTCCAAGTACTCTTTTGTGGACTGTATCAATTATTGTATATAGCAGTTTACGATTCAACGACAAAAAGTCTCATGCTGTCTGTACCTATTAGCAATAAGAAATAAACTATTATGTTTGTTTCATACTTCCTCTTGAAAAAAAAGCATTTTTTCGATCTTCAAATAGAAGTTATATCGGCATAACAGAGTACACATATATAAACCTATTGAATGTGTATTTGATTAATTGACTTGTACTATTTATGCAAAGAAGCAATGACTTTTGCGAACGTTGACTAAAATATAATATTTTTTTAAATGCGTCTTTTAAAATTAATAGATTTTGTTGCATACGGCAAATTAGTTTCGTTATGTTTAAAAGTAGATATGAAGTATTGCATCAAAATGAGAGAGAGAGATTATATAATTCGCATTCGAGTAGGACTTTTCAGTGCATTTTTGTTTTCTAATACACAACTTTTCTGTATATCTGTCACAACTTGTTCTTGCTTTGATTGTAGAAGGACGAAGGAAAAAAATAATATACGAGACTGACGATATTATAGAAGAAGTTTATATGGAATCTATAATTACGATCGATGCTTGCTGTATGATTCGAAAGTAATAATTGCCTTTACTATTGTTTCTCTTCATGGTCAATTTCTTTATTACTTGACATACTCATGAAATATGATTATTATTTGTAGAATTATCTTTCAAAACGATAAATAAAGAGTAAATTGTCTGCTTTCTTCAAATGTGAGTTTGTCGATAGTCATAAAAATGTAAAATAAAATAGTCGAGGTACTTTTCTACACGCTGCATATTGAAACTTGCAATGGTTCATTAACACGCCATTGTATAATGTAATTTACATATTAGTGTTTGAATTTAGAGCAACTGAAATTTTATTCCAAACTGCTTTCACCTATGTGATTAAACAGTTGTATCCAATACAGACGCTTCGACTAATGATATAGAATAGAGCGAAGTTTGCTGAATAAATACTTTTTGGAATATTTTACAGTTTGCAATTAATTATTCTCCTTATAAATGTCTTAAGTAAGTGCTGCAAGAGTCATATTAACAATATCATCGTTGCAATTTTTAAATGCGGTGCGAAGCACTGCATTCATGTAGTCCGTCGCGTGTTTTCTTTTGCTTTTGCTTGCTCGACGTACGCATCTTTTTCGGCGTTTTGTGACGCGATGATCTCGAGAACAGAAAATCGTAGAAAAGTAGTTAAATCGTCAGATGGAAGTATCGAGATCGAACTTATAAAACCTATTTTCGAATCTTCAATCTGAAGTTCGGTTCTCTCAGAAATTTGTTGCGAGATAATTAAAGTGACGTCATCAACAGATGTTAGCCACTATAGTCTATTCATTTACAGCTGATCTAAGATAATGACTCATGGAGATAATTAATCGATCAATCGAATTCGATCTTTAACAATGTATCGCTCAGAAAGATAATTAAAATGGCGTCAACAATAGTTGTTAACCAATAGTCTATTGCTGTACAATCTGATCCAAGATAATGAATCATGAAGATAATTAATCGTTCAATACAAAAGATCGTTAGAAAACTGGTTGTTACATTTTCAGAGAGATCTCCTAGTGATGAATTTCAAAATCGTCGATTTAAGGATAGTGAATGCGAAATTTTTATTCAAAATTCGTATACGGAAATAAAAAAAACTGAACGATTCTAATGAATCTTAAAAAGGATCATTTATTTTTTAAATCTTGTTCTCGCTACTTTCGAAAATTCGGCTCATGTGCTTCGCACCGCATTTCGTATACGAGTGAAACTCGAATACCATCTAGTTTTATAGGCTACGCTAACCGAATATTTTACGAGAAATGTATTGAAAAAAATCCAGAAAACATTGATTGAATCGTTTAATGACTTCTACTACTATAAAAATCGTGATTAGGTAGACTTAGAAATCAATACAAAGAAAACTGATTCAAGCGTCCAATACACTTTATTTCTTCTCCCTTAATTATGACACAGCCCGATTGTATTATTTTCATAGACTATCGTCGAACCCATATTAGTAGAGACAAAACATGATACAAGATTTAAAAAAAAAGAATGATGAGATCAGTGTTTTACTTTAAATATATTTATTTACATTGATTCGTTTCTGTCATCAGCGAGAGGACGGTGACGTAAATAACGTGCATCTAAACCAAGTACTGAATTACGTGGCGAATCGCTTTTCATTTCTTTCAACTCTGTAGATCTTCTCATGATATGTGGATCATGCGATAATAAAAGTCGTGGTGAAACTGTTAGATCATCAAGCATGATCCCGTCAACACCAGCGTCTTTGTCTGGTAAGTTTCTATTCGTGTCCGGTGTATTTACACTTGTCTGAAGCGTACGATACTGCGTCTCACGTTGTCTTTCGTCCATATGTGATTTTCGAGCAATAATATACAAAATTAGAATCCAAACGCCTTCTAAACCATTAATAATAACAAAAAGCCATCCTAGTCCTTCAGCAACGTTTGGATTAGCAATTGAAATTATTGGACCGAAAAGCCACCCAAGACCTTGAGTAAGACATGACGTTAATAATACAATAACACAATATTTTGTTCTTTTAACTATGGCTTCACTTGAGTCGCCGTCTCTGGCATGATCAATCATTTTTTTAGCTACCAAAACCACTATGACTAAATTTATCGCGAGAGATACACATATCGGGGCGGTTAAGAAGATATGAATAACTTGTTGACTAAACCAACAAACTTTACCCAAATATATTTCAGTTACGTTATTTGATGGATTCGAATTAACACCAGCTGCAATCATCATCAATGTTATACTAATAACAAATGATATAGCAATATGGCTAAGAAGAGATTTAAGTGGTGGCGGAGGGAACAGTTGAACGAAACGACGATAATTAAAATATCCAATACTAGTTTTAACACAAAACATGAAAATAATCAGGAAATAAACAACAAACATTAAATCTTGTTCAGCTGGCAAACACGAAACATTTGCTCGAGGCGAACTGTTGACTGAAGAAGAGCCTATCCGTGAATCTAATCTATTCTCTAATAAATTAAATTCTTTGAAATTTTCTTGAAAACTTCGACCTTGATTGGACCGATTTTGACTTGAAGGACTTGCTTGAGAAAATCTCGAATAAACTGTTAAGCAAAGTGCGATCCAAAAAATAAATAAAATCAATGTAACTATGCATGATATAATTGGAAGTAATAATCGTAGTGTAATAAATATACGTGATTTAGTGAACTGCAAAATAACACCATGAATAACAGCTGCTATGAAACAACAAATTGAAATAACTTGAAATGCAATCGATGCTTTATCTTGAGCATTTAATTCTACTATCGTAAGATTGCTTGATGATCCTAAAGGCTTTGGTAGCCAAACGAGTGCAAACGATGTTAAATGATCACAATTACATTCATATCGATCAAGTCTTTTATTATATATAGCTGGCGAACAACCGGACTCGCTCCATTGCGAAGTATTTTTGTCATAAAATGCACATGAATACGTGACATCTCCATTTGTTGTGGGCGGTTTTACAACTTGAAAATACAAAGTAATATCAATTGCTGGACGATTATTATGCATTGTTTCTATTGTAGACATGACTATTGATGATGAAATTGTTCTATTACTTGTATTATCAGCGTTTTCGAAGGGAGTCGGATCATTAATAATAAACATATTGAAAGATGCCGCATAAAACAATGAACTGAGAGTAACAATACCAGCAGTTGACACATTCGAACTGGTTACATTGTCTCTATTTTGTACATTGACAATCGTACCACCCATATTCTCTTGATATGAGACACCAATTACTTTGACTTGAACATCAGTGTCTCCTGGTTTTGTTATTATCAGAACTGAACCGGTGTCGTTTAACGCAGCATAATTACCATTTAAACTGCCAACCAGTGTATTGATTTCGTTGATTGATAAAGTATTATTGGAATTTGATGATATATTTGAATTGGTAATCGAATTTATATATAATGAAAGAGCATCTGCTTTTTCGGTAATACTAGAAGAATTTGCATAGAGTATAGAGATGGCATATATCTATGCAGAAAAAATAAAAACGTATGACATGTTACAATCGAAGAATAGTCGATTTTACCTGCGCACTGTCTCGGGAGGTGCACGTACCATTGCTCAATAATATATAAGTTCCATTAGTACAAAAGTTAGGATCTAACGTAGTCGTCGTTTGTGATGTTGTTGTTATTGTTGTTACTTTGAAAAAAAAGAAAACGTTTAATTTACAGCACAACAGGAGTACAAGTAATAAATACTCGGAACATAACTTGTTATTATATATGTTCCATTATACGATGAATATGTGGAAGTCTGACTAGTACTTGTAGTATCTGTTGTGCCAGTATCATCTATTGTACTTGCAGTTGTATCGCCTTTTGTAAAGAAAGAAAAATGCCGGATAACAAACAGAACTGATCATTCAAAAAATGAATACTTGGATAATAAAGATTCGTGATAATATATATATCACTCGAGTTTGACAAATTTGCCACTCGCGCATTTATCGATGGTAGAGTGCCTGCAATATAAAAACATATACGCATAGAACGTGAAAGTTATAATTGATTTTAATAGCGATTTTTGATAATGAATATCAATGTTAAGCTGCTATCAGATGAAGCACTTAGCAATGATTCACTACCCTTCGTTGAAATTAAAGATCGGTTGGTGAGAGGTCTGGTGACCACGGCGGATGTGGAAGAACTTTCCATCCTAATTACGTAGTAAGCAGGAAAGATTAAGGTCAATACCGATGTTTGTTTGACTTTGAGAGAACAGAAATAAATGCATAATAGTGAGATGAAAGAAAACAGAAGAAAGAAAAAAATACATATATGTTACAGGGGAAATTGAAATTTTAATCTCCCCTAGGGCAAATTAAAATTTTGTTTTTTCCGGGCTCAATTTATGAGGAAAAGTAAAGGTTTTGATTTCAAAACGTACTGCATTCATATCCACACTAATACTAGCACCCACACCCACACCCACACCCTGATAGGATATAAAATAAAAATTTATATTAAAACAAGATTTAAAACTAGCATTTACTTACTTGTATAAGGACCCGTAGCCGTCGCTGAATCGTCTGTTACAGCTCGTTTAGCTCTGTGTCGATTCTGGCTGGCTTCATTTAAATTTTCCAAATTACCTTGTGTCGATTCGTTCAGATTAAAATCATTGTGATTGAATTCAGGATCACCATACGCATATGCTGCCCATATATGAATACCAGCGATAAATAAATAAATAAACAAGCGTATGCAATTACTATTCGTCATGCTGACTTCTATGATCTGAAGCAAAAATATAAGAATCGCAATTATACTGAACATATGATAATATGTCAAAATAAATGATATTAAAACTTGATTTTTGTAAGGTTCGATAATCTTTTTTTCTAATTCGAATGGTAATGAGTGTTGTAGTCTGAAATTTTTTGCTTTTACTCAAGCAGCATCTTGAATAGCTTGCAGCAAGACAAATGAATCATCAATGCGCGACATGAGTGTAGTTTTTATATGAGAAGCACCTAAAAGAGTATGATTTTGTTTTGCTTTTCATAATTGTAAAAATAGAGATCAAGCCAAAAAACCAGCAGCTCTGGTGCACATGTAAAAGACTTTTTTTTGAAATTCTCAACGAATACGTAAAACGATCAGAACGCTATTGCAGAACTACGAACAAACAAATGGCATACCCATTGGCATTCTTGGAGCAAAATTAAGGTGGTTTTTCACAGTAGGAAAGAATAAAAATCAATCGAACTTGGACTTTTTTCGAATTAAACACAACGGACGAAAAATGCGAGAATTCAAAAACATAAAACGAATACTTTCTATACTGCTTCTATTTCTATTCGTCTATTTTGCATCGAAGCAACATTGCTTTTACAAATTGCAAGCGACTTTTGTTGAATTGGTTTCTTCAATTCATGACTACATTTTTCAACATAGATTTACCTGATAATAACTTTTCATGCCTATTCATACTTTTTATGATGAAAGAATCACACCCACCAAGGTCTACACAAGAAATTATAATTATACATACAAAGGCTATGCATAGACTCCTAATAGTGAATAATGCAAAAGTATTTTTCTTCTTATGAATGCTTTGTAATTGTTAAAATATAACAACATTTTACAAAATAATGCAGGCCGAAATGTTGTTTTCGATTTTACTCTTTCTCTTCCGTTTTTACTCTTTCTCTTCCGTTTTTTCTCTCAAACAGCATCATTCAAAAATAACAATTGTAGAATTTATTTTGTTTTATTTTCATGTTTAAAGTGAAAAATAGATTCTCTTCATTTTATAAACATTACCTGTTCTGAGGTCATGACACATCTCAAATTAGTACTAGTTTTCACGAAATATCTGATCGCTGATATCTAATTTTTCCGAAAGAAATCAGATATTTACTTTCTATTCTACCGATGGTTTAAAATTCTCAACGTATGTGACATGCTTGTTCACTACCTGCAGTTTCAAATTCGCAGCAGATACCAGACAGGCAAATATTTAATTTCTACGTATAATTTCAAGCTCTCCACATATATAGCATGCTTGCTTCCGACCTATAGTTTCAAATTCTCTGTAGATGCTAAATATACGCGGTGATTGTGAAATTTAGAATTATGATCTCCAAGTCGTATATCAGTTGTTCAGCTGTGTGCTCGGTTATCAATTTCTTGTGAGATCGTATAGGTAACATAACATAGTGTAACTTCGGTTATAAAGTCAAAAAGTTTGATGAGAAAGTCGCGTGCGAGAAATTTAGCTGTTTGTATATTTGGAAATCGCTTCAGGTGAATCGAATAAGAATTATTCACTTTTAGCGCATTTTGCGTCAAAAGCAGAAAAAGGGAGGTGAGTACAAAGTTTTCTTTAGATTAGATTTCTTTTAAACTATTGACTCAAAACTGTGTATGAAAAAGTTATCCTGGAAAAATATTTGACATAAGATTCTAGAATCTACTTCTGTCTTCATATTTTCATCGTCACTAATTCTCACTGTTCCTTTTTTTATATTCTCCATTATGAGAGAAACCTAGAACGCATTATAACTTTATCGTTCGTGATATTGTTGCTCTCAAGTTGCAGAATTTCGCATTGTAAATCTAATTGAATAACTGTAAGGACAGAGAGAACGCTATCAAAATATAGCATAGAGTAAAAGTATATGACTTATGTTGGTACAAAAGGGTTGTTCGCTATATGGTGTAGATAGCGCGTTATCAAAACATCGGCATTTAAACTAAGAAAAAAAATTAATTAAATGTTACCAAACAAATAAGATGCGTATTCGTCACTATATATGGCATTACATATTTTTTCTTTGAAAAGTTTTATCCTTTTTTATTAAAGAGAAAGTTAACGCTTATATACGGAAAAGACAACCCCTTCTTAGTTTATTCGCACATGCGTAGCACGACACATATGGGAAGCAAAACGATGATAATATCGCGTTTGTTTCGATCTTGATAAAAACCAAAATTTAAACCAATTGATTAGTGAATAAGAAAAAGAAATAACGAAAGAGTAAAGAAGGAAAAAATCATGGGTGATATAACAAAAAACAATAAAGTTCTGTTCTTGTTTTCACTTATTCTATATTATTCAGTACGTTTCCTAGATGATCGTTTTTTTTCATGTTTGACCTACGCACACATGACGATTTGCCCATAGCGCATCATTTTCTTATTCAAGAATCTCCAAAAAGTTATGCACATGGCAGAAAAAATATTCGATTTTGAGAGTAATTGGAACTCAAAACTACCCTTTTTGTTTTACATAAGTTCTTTTTTCGTATCGGCAAGTCTCAAGATTTCATCGTCCTTAACGCATTACTTTCTTACACCACATTCGCAACACCTCATGCGCAAACGAAAGATGTTCGTCTAGAGTTCTCTTTGCAATTAGATAATGTCCTTCAGTACGTTCTCTTTCATCTCATACATGCTAGTAACGCTTGGCTGCGCATCTCGCTCAACTCTCGGCTGTATCTAGTCCACACTACATAAGAAAATGCAGAAAACTAAACTCTTTGTGGCTGATGAAAGTACAACCTATAATCAATCGTTTTTATCGTATGTAAACATTTTCATCAAATCTTAAAGGATTTATTATTCTAGAAGTTTGTTTATAGTGTAGTCATGCTTTGCCATTGCTTCTTGCATTCCATGTTGAGAACTGTGCGAGAAAGTTCATGCATCGAGCGAAAAACTATAGAATATAGTTAGTAAGTACTACTCTACAGTTTGCAAGACCTTATTGTTTTTGTTTATAATACAATAAGGTAAAGTTCAACACTCAGGTCAAACTCGTATGGCGGGAAACGGCAGGAAAACACTGGAAATCACTGGAACGTGGAAGCAGTATTCCGACCGGAAATTTTTCTGTGAATTCCCAGCAGTTTCCTGTGCTTTCAGGCAAGAACCGATTGGAAAATCACTGGAAAGCAACCGAAAATTTCAGGCTGGAATACTGCTATCCAATTCCCGCGATTTCCAGTGTTTTCCTGCAGGATACGTTGACCTGAATGCAGACACGCGTCTGTTGTCATTTGCCTGTTCCTCGAACTGCTACTTCTTATCACCCATCTTCCACATGATCACGCTATAAGATTTATATGTACTGCATCATCATGCGCCGATCACCTTTCAATGATATCGAAGATATTTGTGATTATCTTCGTAGCATACACATGTTGGCTATCAAGCTGTCTACTGTGCATAACATAACACAGCACTCTGAAAGAAAAAAGGGAGTTTTACAGAACCATTTTAGGGGTTCTGATATCGGGTAAAACGCAGAACCCTCGAAAAAGGTTCTGACTGAAAAAAGGTTTAGTAAAGAAATAACGAAACCATATGTGATTTTTCTTCAAAAAAGGTTCTGCCATTCGTATAAGGAGTTCCATGATTTAAATGGTTTACCGTTGGGATTTCCCTTATCTCTGTATCCATATTTCGATATTCTTATATCCATAGCCTTATCTATACCTTATATACACAGCCTTATCGATACCTTATATACATAGCCTTATCGATACCTTATATGCATAGCCTTATCGATACCTTATATCCATAGTCTTATCTATACTTTATATCTATACCCTTACAACTACACCCTTATATCCATAGTCTTATCTATACTTTATATCTATACCCTTACAACTATACCCTTATTACTATATCCTTATTACTATATTCTTATATCTATACGCTTAAAACTATACCCTTAAAATATATCCTTATATCTACACCCTTAAAACTATATCCTTATTACTATATTCTTATATCTACACCCTTAAAACTATATCCTTATTACTATATTCTTATATCTATACGCTTAAAACTATACCCTTAAAATATATCCTTATATCTATAGCGTTACAACTATACCCTTATTTGTATATTTCCTAAAACAGTGTAGTTCCGGGAAAACTTTAGAGCCTTTCCGATTTTGGCACTGTCTGAAAACCTTTCAGAGTTTCCGAATATTGGTGTTCAAAGTCTTCTAAACTGAAACAAATAGTTACAGTACTTTCTCACAAAGCAATATCAGAAACTGCAAAAAGGTTTCAAA